AACAATATTCTTCTAGAATGAACTATTTTGAGTAAGAGTTGTTTCACCCCTGGATTTTACTTGAATATAAACATTATGCTTCTAATACATTCAATAAACATTAATCTAATTGAGAGTATGTATCATATGATTTTGGTTATCATACTTTACTCATATGCCTCATGTCAATTCTTCATTTCCAAACCAGTTCTCCTGAATGTACTATCAGAACCACTTGTTGGCAGCATTCAATCAGCTTCTGTTAGAAGATCAACTTCCCCCATATTGCAATGCAAAGCTTACCAAATAAAAGTTTCTGTAATAGAAGTCCCAAAAGAAGTAAATTTTATCAGTTGTGGTCATTATCAGAAAAGTAAAAATTCTTGCAATCTCGAGAGGAATATTAAAGATCTGAACCAGTCTAATTTGTAGATTTCCATGTTGATGATAATAAATGGTGAAATGGAATATTATGAAACCAAGTTTGTCCCTGGACAATCATTGCAAGACTTGAATTCACAGGAGATAAATATTACACGAATAGATATGAATAGATAATTTGAAGAGTTTTTTTCTCATGATCGAAATGTAGATTATGAATATTGACCTGCCGTGCCTAATCCTACTCATTGCCTCCTCCCATGTCATAATGACCATCTTTTCTTATCCAGTAAGTTTAGCGAGAATTGGAATCGATCTGAAAAGTCGAAATTTCTTGTAAAATTCTCTGAATTGATATGAAACTGAGATGTCTGGCTGGAAGACGAATAATCTTGATTCTCTCGCAGACTCAAGTTGTTAACGAGGGTTAACCAAAGCCAGTCTATGTCTTCAACACTAGAAGATATTATGTAAATAAGTCTTTAACATAATTTTATCAAACAAATTTCACTTTTTGATAGAGTTCTTTGAGTCAAAGAAGTAAATTAAATGATGTAGATTACAAAGCCTTTGAAAATATGTATTCTGGTGAAAATCAAGAATATTTTTTTTCTGATAAGTTTTTCTATCACTATGGTAATAAGAAGGTTTTAACATGATAATTATTTCTTGTTAAGTTAAGAACCAGAATCTATGAAAATAATAAAAAAATGTTGTCATGTATGCCATTAGGTTATCTCTCGACTTTTTGGATGAACTTCAAGATAGTTTGGAATTCTCTCTATGCTAACTCTGCTTCCTGAAATCTTCAGGATAACAAGGTGAACCACGTATATATAATTAATTCATGTTTACCATAAAGCCTGAGATGTCAAGTTTTATAATTGAGGACTTCTTTTATAGGGAATGTAATATTAATTCATTTTGCATCCTTTTCTTTGATTGTCGAATTATACAAACATGACTGAATGGGTTTGTGAAAGAACATGAAACTGGCTGCTCAGTACAGGATGTATCAAAACGTGACCATTTGGTAATATGTGGATTATGGCTAGCTAATTCCTGTAATGAAATCGACTCAATAAATAACCTCAGGACTTGTGCTAAAGATTGAGTTTTATTCCACTCTCTCATCAGAAGAAAAACACGGCTATTATTTTGTTATTACAGTGTGACAGACAGACATCAGTCCATGTATTGATCATTTAATACCACTTCTTCTATCTTATCACACGCACAAAAATACATAATCTTTACCCAAATCATGTTTTTCTTGCTTAACTAATAACTTGAACGCTACTATTCAACGGTACTCTTTGCGGTTTTTTCTTTTTCGCTGATGGTATTTGCTGTGTCAGCTGAAGAAACTGATATGCAGGCTCTTAATTGAATTCTGATTTGATCTAATACAATAGTTTAATTGGGATCATAGCTACTAGCTAGGGAGTCAAGGCATGTTAAACCAATCCAGACACCTGATACAACTCTTCAAGTGGGATTGTCAAATGGTCATAGTTTTGTCCTTATGAGGGGCTTAAAATAATGAAAATGATGGATATTACTTAGAATTTTTATTCTACATGCATTAATGTATGTTTTGAAACAATCATCTTCCTGTGGATGAAGAATAACTAGAAAGGTACTATTAAAATGCTCTTAGTGGTAGTCTTTTTTCTTGAAGGTCATTCAAGGTGCTGACAATGCAACTTTCTGAAGATTGAGTTTATTGTGATGACTGTGTAATTACGTTTTTAAATATCTGTATGAATGTGTGTATAATATGTGTGTATAATATAATAATATAATATGTGTGTATAATATAATAATATACTATGTGTGTATAATATAAATGTGAATAATATACTATGTGTGTATAATATTATAATATACTATGTGTGTATAATATAATGTGTGAATAATATAATATGTGTGTATAATATAATAATATACTATGTGTGTATAATATAAATGTGAATAATATACTATGTGTGTATAATATTATAATATACTATGTGTGTATAATATAATGTGTGTATAATACTATATTAAAATATGTGTGTATAATATAATGATATACTATGTGTGTATAATATGATAATATACTATGTGTGTATAATATAATAATATACTATGTGTGTATAATATAATAATATGTGTGTATAATATAATGACTGTATAATATGTGTGTATAATATAATGTCTGTATAATATAATGTCTGTATAAACCAGTGTGATATGAGTATATATCAATATAGAAAAGGTAAAATGGTGATATTGTGAATATCAAGATGATTGAGACAGAAGACACTGACATATAATCAATAATAACATCTTCATGTGAAAAGGTGACAAGACTACATACTTCACATTCACTACAATTGTATTTACTAATGTCCTTCACCACTACAAACTCTTCGCCTCTATTTTCCTTTTTATTTGCTTTTCCTATATCATGATCGTGATTTGACATTTCTCAATGCTCGCCAGGATATTCTTCAAGCTAAAAAATGGCTCCTTCATCATTACTCTTATGTTCACAATGCACAATGTCAAGATTTATTAAATGAACATTCATTTCGTCAAAGATTTTAGCAAGTTATCGGTTTTGACATCAAGATGAATCTTGTGTGGTTGCTTTAATTACATTTTACAAAATGGTCTATTAAGATCTTACTGAAGTTTTCATATTACTCAAGGGAGTTATACAACAGTTCATGGTCTTGTTTGTATTCATCTATAGATTCTTCATAAAAACACAAGAGACATTTTTATCTTATCAATTTATAGATTTAACACAAGTGTAAAATTTAATGAAAATGCCCTTTAAGATTTGACTGAATGTGTAATGCAGATTAAGGTTTTGCATTGTTAAAATCCTACTGACTTTATGGGAAAATGTTATCTGTTTAAAACCTCAATTGCTGTCTGTTTTGGAGTATTGATTAGCAAATACTGCTAAAAATAACACAGAAAGAAACATCACAGTTTTATAAGAATATCAAAGGTTGTTAAAAATCCTGTATAATAAGCTGGTCCTTGCCCAATGCTCACTGATGATGATTTTTCCAGGATTATTTTTACCCAATTGCAGCTAGAAAAGTTGATGCATTTTTTTTTTTATACCATTTTCAAGTTTCTAGACACTAGAGCAGACTGGACTAATGGTCTGAAATATAATAAACTTAACTGATTTGTTCTTCAAAATTGTTCAAAATGACCTCTGACCATCATAATTCGAATAGGGTTTTGACATGATGTTATTAACCCCGAGGAAGTATGCTGAATGGGGATGTGGTTTGGACACAATGGCCACTGTCTTAATTAAGAAGTTTGGGTCTAGATGACCATAATAGAGAATATTGGTGACATGCAGAACTAAATAAAAATACATGGAGATTATTAACAATAGATTTATTTACAATAGATTGTGGATTTTTGTCAGAAACTGTAATAAATGTCCTATATTTTCCAATAAATACACATGTACTGGCTATATAATCTGGATACGTCTAGACATTAGGGATTATGAACACTAAAGAGTGTGTTATTAGATAATTATGATAGGATTATTGTTATCTTTATCTTAAGTAAAATAGGCTTCTTTATGGTCTATATTTTTGTCTAGTATTAATATTAGTATGTAGTTGCATGCAAAATATTTTACATTTTACAATACTGAATATAATCTAGCATCACCAGCTGGTTTTGTGAAGAAGCTACTTCGCCAATGTCATTTCATTTCAATCTTCTATGTGACTTTTGTTGATATGCACATACGATAGAGAAATGCAAGGGCCAGTGGTCTTTTCCCTATTCAATTTCTGTAATGTCAATGGCACAAACTTATCAGCTAGCTAGTTAATATTCTCTCAACTTAGGTCTAGATATTTCATTTGACCTAACTGAAAAAGTATATGGTTAATGTAATTGATTATTGCCAAGCAGTTTGATCATTCAGGAGAACTAGAAAATGAGGTGTTCATAGTCAAATGGCTAGATAATTCTGTTGGACCTAGATGTAAATAGATATGGTTAATCTGGAAATATCATTGGAAAGGAGCTTAAACTGGTGTAAATAGGTGTGGATATCTGAAATCATTCACACAAGAGATGATCATTTCAGTCCAGTTGTAGAATACCTAAGATTCATCTGAACAGATCATTGTAAATAGTTTGCTTCAGCATTCTAGTTAAGCACTAGTGTTTATTAATATGGTAAACCTACTGCTCGTATCATGACAAAGAACGTGGATTGTTTGAATTGTAAATCGATATAAACCTGAAAGATTATTGTCAAGAAACTTGATAATGTAGTCCTGGTAGCTAGCAAAATCCAGATATTCAAAGTAGCTATCAAAAGCCAGGTAGTCAATGTAGCTGTAGGGGGCCAGATATTCAAAGTAGCTATTAAAAGCCAGATATTCAAAGGAGCTATCAAAGGCCAGGTAGTCAATGTAGCTATAGGGGGCCAGGTAGTCAATGTAGCTACAGGGGACCAGATATTCAAAGTAGCTATTAACAGCTAGATATTCAAAGTAGCTATAAAAAGCCAAGTAGTCAATGTAGCTACAGGGGGCCAGATATTTAAAGTAGCTATCAAAAGCCAGGTAGTCAATGTAGCTACAGGGGGCCAGGTAGTCAAAGTAGCTCTTAAAAGCCAGATATTCAAAGTAGCTATCAAAAGCCAGGTAGTCAATGTAGCTACAGGGGGCCAGATATTCAAAGTAGCTATTAAAAGCCAGATATTCAAAGTAGTTATCAAAAGCCAGGTAGTCAATGTAGCTACAGGGGGCCAGATATTCAAAGTAGCTATTAAAAGCCAGATATTCAAAGTAGCTATCAAAAGCCAGGTAGTCAATGTAGCTGTAGGGGGCCAGATATTCAAAGTAGCTATCAAAAGCCAGATATTCAAAGGAGCTATCAAAGGAGCTATCAAAGGCCAGGTAGTCAATGTAGCTATAGGGGGCCAGGTAGTCAATGTAGCTACAGGGGGCCAGATATTCAAAGTAGCTATCAAAAGCCAGGTAGTCAATGTAGCTACAGGGGGCCGAGTAGTCAATGTAGCTACAGGGGGCCAGATATTTAAAGTAGCTATCAAAAGCCAGGTAGTCAATGTAGCTACAGGGGGCCAGGTAGTCAAAGTAGCTATTAAAAGCCAGGTAGTCAAAGTAGATATCAAAAGCCAGGTAGTCAATGTAGCTACAGGGGGCCAGATATTCAAAGTAGCTATTAAAAGCCAGATATTCAAAGTAGTTATCAAAAGCCAGGTAGTCAATGTAGCTACAGGGGGCCAGATATTCAAAGTAGCTATCAAAAGCCAAGTAGTCATTGTAACTACAAGGGGCCAGATATTCAAAGTAGCTATCAAAAGCCAGGTAGTCAATGTAGCTACAGGGGGCCAGGTAGTCAAAGTAGCTATTAAAAGCCAGGTAGTCAAAGTAGATATCAAAAGCCAGGTAGTCAATGTAGCTACAGGGGGCCAGATATTCAAAGTAGCTATTAAAAGCCAGATATTCAAAGTAGTTATCAAAAGCCAGGTAGTCAATGTAGCTACAGGGGGCCAGATATTCAAAGTAGCTATCAAAAGCCAAGTAGTCATTGTAACTACAAGGGGCCAGATATTCAAAGTAGCTATCAAAAGCCAGGTAGTCAATGTAGCTACAGGGGGCCAGGTAGTCAAAGTAGCTATTAAAAGCCAGGTAGTCAAAGTAGATATCAAAAGCCAGGTAGTCAATGTAGCTACAGGGGGCCAGATATTCAAAGTAGCTATTAAAAGCCAGATATTCAAAGTAGTTATCAAAAGCCAGGTAGTCAAAGTAGATATCAAAAGCCAGATAGCCAAAGTAGCTATCAAAGGCTAGGTAGTAAAAAGTAGTTATTGGAAGCCAAATAGTCAAAGAAGCTCAGAAGCCAGGTTGTCAAAAGAAGCTATCAGAAATCAGATAAATATAAGTCAGTTTCAGACTATTCTACATGATGTAACAGAAGTATATCATTGTCTTATCAACATGTGAAGTTAAGCTTGAAATTACACCAGATTTTTTTTACCTATTGTGTTAAAGACAATTTGTTTATGACAGTGTTAAGTAATGTTTCATTGTTATTTATAAAAAAAATCAATTGTCTTACGCGTAAAAAAAAAACTTATCTTGTAGATCAGAATGATGAGTTTTGTCAAGTAAAAAATTCAACTTGAAAACCTTAAGTGGTTAATCATTTTTCTGAGTAAAAAACAAACGGATTGGTATTGACTTTCAATCATTATTTTACACAAGAATTAACTTTTTCTTGATAACAATAACATTACATATAAAGTTGAAGTGATTAAAGGTTTCCAATATTAATAAGCTCTGTAATTACTAGCTAATGTTTTTATTAGATTTGCTTTTTTCTTTGATTTGTAAAGAATCAATTCTTCCGACATGTTTTTATTTTCTCAATTGATTTTTATCATGTATTTTGTCAATCTCAATAAAATTACATTTAGGTAATTCTAGCATTGTTGTAGGTTTAATTTGATCACACTGCAGCACGGCAAGCTGTATTTTATTATGTTAACTATGGTAAGATAACACTTAATGTTAGGAGGAAGTCTGGGATTCACTGAAATGAGCTCATTTATAAGCTGAATCAATTCATGTATTACTTAGCAAGGTACTGGTTTAACTGAGCTCCTTTCTTGACCGAAACCTTGTAACTTGTAATGTAACTGGAAAAGCTTGACTAATTACTACTGGGTAAAAAAGCCATTTTTTTATTACTTAATGTGACCTCAAACCTATGATAGAATAAAATTTGGAAGAGGGGATTCTAACCTATGATACAAACTGCTTCACTGAGTCACATTCATTAGCTCAGACTAACAAAAATGACCGAAGCTGACAAAAGCTAGACAGGTCACAATAAAGAAACTAACAGCAAATTACAAGTTTCTAAAATGTTAAACTTGTAGGGAGGTCTTAACCACAATTTCATTATTGAAATGTCAAATCACAAAGACTCCTTTTGAGATGCCAAATTGATTACACAAGAAAAACTACATACATAAACATGACAGCATCCAACAACTAGATATAGTGTAAAGTACATGTATACACGATAAATAGATATATTTATATAGAAAAGTACAATTTATATACATGATAAATAGAAGTATATATACAGAAAAATACATGTATACATGATAAAGTGATATATTTATATAACAAAGTACATGTTTACATGATATATAGATATATTTATATAGAAAAGTACATGTATCCATGATAAATAGATATACTTATATAGAAAAGTACATGTATCCATGATAAATAGATATATTTATATAGAAAAGTGCATGTACACATGATAAAGTGACATATTTAGGTAGAAAAGTATGTGTATTCATGATAAATAGATATTTATACAGAAAAATACATGTATACATGATAAATAGGTGTATTTATACCGAAAAGTACGTTCATTCATGATAAAGTGATATGTAGAAAAGTACATGTATTCATGATAAATAGAAGTATTTATACAGAAAAGTACATGTATACTTGATAAATAGTTACATGTAAGAATATTTGTGATGATAGATAAGTAACAGCAATATGATATGATCTCTATTAACATAATGGGTGTTCTATCAACGTCCTGTTTTTCTTCATATCTTTTCTTTCTATTGATTGAGATAAAAGCTTTATTGATAGATGGGAGTATAAATAGCTATAACTTACCACCATGTAACTTTATCGAAATCTTCAAATATTTTCACTGTCTTCTTCTTGCAAAACACAGTGTATCTTGTGTTTCACACCTTTTTGTTCAAAATTAAAAAAATATAATCCCAGGTGTTTACTATATCAGCACTCCCACAGGCAAAGTTTGAGCACAGTGATAGTGACTCAGCTGGGATCAGCTCAAAGGCTTATGCCTAATCAGAAAGCTGTATTTATATAGTATAGTATATACGAAGTCCATGGTCAAAATAAAACAAATCCATACTTTGAAAGTTTAAATGAAGTAAATTTATAAATCTTGTATGCTCTAAGACTTTTAGTTAAGCCTTTTTAGCTTTGAACTAAATCACAGTCTCAAACCATGAATTGTATATTCTAATAATCTTCTAATTTTGTTTTTTTGTAATCATCAACTGAACAATTTCAGTTTGAACTCTACCTGAACAATTCTAAGTTGTGTTATTTTTCCATTGATTTGTGTTCATGATACATAATCTCTTATCAAATAGTAGAGAATCAAACTTAACATGAGCTGTATTTATGTCAGCTCAGTTCAATGAACCATGTTTTAATCCTAATTTGAACAGTGGGTTAATCAGGATTTTCTTGTCTCTACAATCTGTATACGGGTAGTTTCATAGTAAACAATGTATCAACAATTTACAGGAGTATAAACAATGCAGCTTCAAAATGTTGTATGAATACTATTTGTTTTTATTAGGCTCTTGTTAAGCTAATAGGTAGGTAGGTTGTTGGTTAGGTTGTATTTAAACTCCATTTCATTGAATACTGTAGTGGGTGCAGGCCCAAAGCCAGGCCTCCCCTAAGAAAAATTTAGATGACTCAAATGACTTGTTGAGTCGCTATATTTGAGCCCCCCTTAAAAAAATTTGCCCTGAAACTTTCGCAGAGTCCACTTAGCTTATTTGATAATTTGTTTATCTTAAATTAAAGAAGAAAATTAAGAAAGAGTTCTGGAAATCACACTAAAGCAGGAATATAGAATCTTAAGATATTATTTAGATTGGCATGGTAAGAACCATTAATAACTGATTCAACCCATAAGGATAAAATGAAACCAAATAATTTTAATTACATTGTATCTTACCAAGAAAGAATATTTAATGTTAAATGAAAAAATATTCTGTATACAAATTAAGCCAATTCATAGTTTTTGACATTGGTCAACTCTGTCTGATAGCCTTGACATTGATCAAGTAGTCAGAATGCCATGAAGCTGGTATCTGCTGCTGAACATGTTCTAATATCTAGATAGAGTAAGAAGATTTGTATTGCTATGACAACAAGAAATAAGAAATGAATGAGAAGCTAGAAGTAGATTTTGATAGATATCTTATCTCAAATTGTCCTAACTTCCATTAACTTCCCAATATTCTCATTATCAATATTTCTAAATCCTAGTTACAAGCTGATAGATCAATGTCAGTATAGATAGAGATGCTGGTAAATAATAATTTCTATTGCATTATATTGTCTGGCTATTATAGTCTTTTCTTCTATACTTTATCTCTAATCTCAATTATACATCAAATTCTTTTTGAACTTGCCGATAGTGATGCTTAGTTGACATTCTAAATACGTTAATTGGCATTATATTCTAACTGTGGTTAATTGGTATTATATTCTAACTGTGGTTAATTGGTATTATATTCTAACTGAATTGGTATTATATTCTAACTGTGTCTGCACCGCCCTATCTAGTCAGAAGTATAAAACTATGCAGTTTTCAATTGTGTTAATATTATGAACCAAATATTTTCACATAAATACACATAATTTATAGATTATTGGTAGCAATATGAAAGCAAAAAAAGAGTTTTAATTAAAGATTTCAAACGTGTTAACATGAAAATCTTGAATTCTTATTGTTGGTTTACTAAAACTATAGAAACATAGTATTTTAGGTTTTAATTGTACTTTTGTGGTTAGGATTTTTGACTAACAGAATCTGAGCCAAGTTTGTTTGTTAAATTTGCTACTGTCTGACCCTAGTTAGGGCTCAGCGAATTTAACTCAAAACCTTGGTTTTTTTTCCTTTCAAAGTTCAAGGTGATACCTTTAGATGTCTTATCTGGTTTCAAGTTATCAGTGATGTGGGTTAGAGAGGTTGACAGAAGTCTAATCAGTGAATTAGGATGTAAAACTCTCATTTCATACTTTTTGGTTCATTGACCTTTATGTAATATAATTAGAGAGTTCCTGTATTGAAATAAAAGACTCTTCTGTTTTAGAGGTATATTAGGTAGGAGTAGTAGGAGTTAGTAAGATTAATTGATGGAGCAACTCTAATCATTCAATGTTGAAATAAGATTTTTACATCAGTAGATTTCCACTTGGTATTGTGTAATGGTCATGAATCTTAATGACATTATCTTCAATCTCAATTCTACCAACTAGTCTCTTTTCTTCTTATTTTCAAAGATCTGTGGGCTAAATGTGCGTTGGCTAAGTTCTAATATGCATGCATGTCTTAACTACGGCAAGTGGCAGAACGAACACTACAATTTAAATTTTAACATTTAGAGTTTGTGCATCTTAAACACATACCATATGAAATGAGCATTTCCCAATATTTTTGCACATGAAACATGCAATAAGCAAGCCTGAAATAATTAGTTTAATAGATCCAGGATAGCTGTGTGGTTTAAGGTTTTAGTTTATGCCCAATAAAGTCTTGTATTTGAAATTTTTGATAAAAGTTAAATGTTTTTTTGGTTAATAAATTCCAATTACATTTAATAGCACACATTGCATACATGAACAAATTTTGATGTAGGGTTTATAATTTATAAGATTGAAACATCTAAGTCAGCATATTTTTCAGATGAAATATTTTCTTGTGATAATCAAGTATTTTCCTCAGTCAAGCTTTTTATCTATGTATATTAGAATATTAAACAGAGAATTGTGTGACACTGTCCATCCAACTCATTCATAATTGCTATTGATTTCCTCTAGATCCTTTCCTATTTCGACTAGGCTCTGAAATCGACTCAATTTTCGTAGCTCTTTGGTCTGTATTGATCTTGGTTTCCCTGGCATACTACTAAATATCTTCTTATTACATTCCGTCTGAGTGCTAAGTAACTAGATTTTATGTAGCTTAAATAGTCTCTGTAATTTTTATACCTCAGTTTTCATTAATTCTAGTTAGATATGTTTAATGCATTAAGAATTAAAAGCTTTGTAATTTGACCTTAATTAATTGCCGCTTTAGTGGTAGAAACTTTGACTTATAAGAAACTATGTTTAAAGAGAGAAACAGCCATGTTTTACAAGGATAACTTAGGTTTACAAGGGTCCTTTCTACCAGCTAGTCGTTTAAAACAGAATATGAATAAATATATATATTATGTCTTGAAATGGACTGACTAAAAAGTGCAGAACATCAATGGCTGATACATTAAAGAAAAAGGACCATTATCACTTACTTGAAAATGTCAAATGGTTACGACAGATAGATATCAAAATTATGTTTGATTCATCATGTATTGATATATAACATACATGCATTTAGTATATTTATGTCATGTTACTTTTAAAACAAAAATGGACAATCATTTACATAAGGCTAATGTCCAAACTCTATTTGCACCATTTCTGTTTCCTGGAATTCCAACTCAAAACTTAATATGATCTGTGTGTTATACTCTTTAAGAATCTTTACATGTCCCAGATGCTGGAATTGCAAAAAGACTTCTTTTAATTTTTCAAATGAATTGCATTTTGATTTTGGGGTTTATCTAACATTATGATTGACTGCTTCAGTCTTGAAAGTACAAAATTTTAGTGAGTTTTTAATTTACGGTGTCGTAAAGAAAGGAACCATTTTTTAACAAATAAAAGTCACGAGGATCCTTTCTACCAGCTGATCCATGGAAAACCTCTAAACGAGTTACAAAGTGCTGCCTGTTTCCACGAATTACAATCATTGTTTTCATATGGTTATAATAATTTGATGTTTTTTTGTATATTTTCAGAGAGCCTATAAAGAATGGTTGTGTGCAACTCATTTATCCTTTCATAAATTGGGGAAGCGGACACCTCCTTGTGACAGTTTTTGTACGCGAATAGAACAAATGTGCCCTTTCTTTCGTCCACGAAACATTGATACTCACGTAGGAGATCCAGGTTTTTTATGCAAAGGTAAGAATACTTTTTATTGTCATCTGCATTATATGAATATCCTGTACATCATCATTTTTACCATATACAACAAAGAAAAGATAAAGAAGCCTTTTCCCTTCTGCTTGTCTCAATCTCTGCTTGAATGAATAAGCAACTGTTTATGAACATCAATAATGTTTATCAAAGTTGAATTAAATAATTTTTGTAATCTGAATGATTTCAGAAGGTAAGTTTGCAGAGAACTTACCACCATCCATTTGAAAGTCCTTAATATTCAATTGGGCAAAAGTGATGTAAAAAGATATACTATAAAACAAAATGCATTTTCGTTTTCATATTTTTTTGCTTTAAACCCTGATAATATCCACAGTGATAGAGGGAGCATAAATTGTGAATTCCTTATAGCCAACCCTACCATGGAACATCTGTAAATGATTGTGGTTTGATACTTTTGCTGGGATCTAAGTTCATAGTTAGAATGCATGATGGTGAATCTGCATCGGTCAGAACCATATCAAATTTGATTATAAAGTGAAATGGATGAGGTATGAATGTATGTATATTAATTATTTATCTATTTGTGTATTTTCAGATAAAGATATACCTACTGATCCTGGATCTGTTTATGGCAGTGAGCCTTATTGTTATAAGTTATGTCATTTAATTAAAGTCAATGAAGAATTTGGCACGGACTATGACACCACATGTCACACAATTAAAAAAACACCTAATAAAACTAGACCTTATTACCGGTATAGCACTTCCAGTTCACGTTCCAAGCATTCTATTACTCTCGGGGAACTTGTACACTTCTTAGCTTTAGTGTGGACTTTACGGACCATTTTACAAATCTCCGATATAGGTTTAACATAGTGGATACTAGTTGTAAATAGTAGGATTTTGCTTCTTTTAATGCTGTATAATGTGATATCAGTGCTGACTGACCAAATGGGTAGAGGGGTATGTGAAAGACAAAGGACGCCATAATATTATTATTGTGATGTAGGGAAGCGCCAACGGCCATAATTCCCAATGTGCTGCATGATGGTTCCAGCCATAACAAGCCATGCAGTTGTGATGAGGATAGGTCATGACGACCAGTACTTTAAACACAGTGATATCTCAGGCGCTTAACCTTCCAGTGCTCATTCTGAAATGAGGTCAAGGATACTGTTTCCAGTCCCATCTAGCTCAAATAAGCTCAAAGTTCATTGTGGATCAAGGAAATTTGCACAATAAATTGGAGAAGATATAGTAATATATATGTGTATCTTGTGTTAGATTTTTATTTTCAAAGTTCTGATCAGAATAGCTTCTTTTCATATTATCATTAGGCTGGTCCTAATTTTATCTTAGTGATGAAAATAATATCTTCGAGTTCATCTACTTTGGATTTTATCGATTCAAAAATGCATTGTGATGTGCCAATATGGATTATTTCCTTACTGAAATAAAGACTTTCAATTTAATATGGATATAACAAGAGGTGTTTTAAGTATGTGTTTCTTGGAGAATGTTTATAAAGTACCATAGTTTCAGATGTGGTGCTGCATCTTAGTATAGTTACTGTACCTTACCATTTCAACATCAGACAAAAACAATATATTCTTCAGTATTCTTAATCTTAAGAAAAGGAAAAACTCTCAAATTTGATTCACAATTTGCATTTTGGATTAAAAGAAAAATTTAAGATTTATTCACTTTTATATCTTCTCTAAAGAAACAGGTTAAGTTTTTGGGCCTGTTTGATTCACTCCTATGCTATATTCCAGCGTTTGAACATGAGAGGAATGTGAGCAGCTCTTTTGTAATCTGTGAAAGCTATAGTGTTTCTATGTTATATAGTGAACACCCGTGAATCAAACAGGCCTTCAATTGACAGCGGTGAAGATTCCATTTATTGAAGAGATATTTAATTATCATGAAATCTATAAAAATGTGTGCATATCCTGTTAATGAAATCTATGTTCTATCAATGAAATCTATCAGAAACAGTGTGATTTCTATATTTTAAAGTGGGATCAAGTCAAGATGATTTATTGTTATGGATCTTTACACTCTATCAAAATGTTTTTGATTTTTTTAATTATTTCATTGGATTCTATAGGCCTATAATTGTGATTTCTAATGTTAATTTTGGGGACACTGTAATATATTCTCAATAGTTAATACCTCAAGATATTTCAGTTAGATTTTTGTGTTATTTTGTTTCTGTTAAGTTGTGTAAAAAAGAAATTATGTATAAAAACAGACAACTGGATTATAATAACTGTAAATATGGATATAGTTAATAATATAAATATATATATAAACTTATTGGATTATGTTCAGTGAAAGTTTACAAGTGTGTTATCATTTTACAAGCATTTGATGTGGATAATCATGTACATAATACTATAAACTTTGTACACTTCAAAAACAAGTTTGTACAAGGAAACTATGTGTAGATGAACATTCTTGCATTCATAATTCCAGAATGCAATGAGCTGACTGTTAAAGGGGAGGTAACTCCGATCTAAATTATCCCCACTTCTGCTATCAGCATGTTTAGTCAAAAGATTTAGAATGAATTTTCAAATATTTATTATGTGAGATTGAGATGAATGGATGGATGTTACTTTCAGTTTTTTAAATTTTAATTTTAAGAGATTTGATGGCGAAAGTTTAACCTACCAATATTTACTCTGGTTTGGTAATCAGGACAACATGATTTGAGAACATTTTAAAATCAGGTAGAAAATTTAATTTTGAAAACAAAACTACTGTTGAAGCCTCACTTACTACTATGGGATAAAATAAATAACCAAATTCCAAAAAATACTAAAAGGTTTTTGTCATTTAATATTTAAAAAAAACTCATATTGAAAAGTACCAGTATCATATTCAAAGATGTATTGTCATTGGAACTGTCATATTTATGGCTATATTTGGACCAATCTGTCATTTTTCTGGTACACTTTAATCAGGAATTGTTGCTTGTAAGTCTGAAATCGTCTCATCTACTACAGAATGACCTAGCTGAGGACGAAATGAATCTATCAGATTGTTGAAATCATTTCATAATGCCATTTGCTTGGTAACATTTAACTAATGGTGGTCGTGGTTTCTAATATTGGTGGCTGATATTAATTGAATAAGCAGCCATGTTCTTTGAATCTTCTTTAGCTGTAAATGGGTGGAAATGGTGTAAAGATCAATGGACAAAGCTAAGGACAAGCTGGAGAAAAGATCCTCCTTGACCTAAGTTGTTATCCTTGTAAGAACAATTGTTATTATTTTATTTATTATGTCATCCCAAATCATTTCAGGAATCTTGAGAAAATTAACATGTAGTTTGTGAGCTTTATTGTGAAAAGTTTAATACATATTATATGGGCATACTAAGGGCATCAATCCGATAAGAACAAATAGATAGTGATACTGTAACTAATAGTTGAACTTCATATAGTATGTTTAGGTTGATGCACTGACTTTTTCGGGTTTTTATTTTGTAAATTTGTCTTGACATTAAAAGTTAGAACAAGGTCTGCAATCTGAGCTGAGGTAGTGCCACATTGTCAAAAAAAAAAGAGAAAGAATTCGACTAATTAAGCATATAGCGATTCGGCTGCATTGTAGAAATCGGCCTAATAGTGGTGTATAGTTTCAATTACAAGGTAAGAGTAAGTGAACATTATATAATCTGCTATGGGACAAGAGTTGTTTCCAATTTGAGTCGAGATGTAAGAGCAGTACACAATGTCAGCTGCAATGTAAGACTTGTAAAATATTAGATACTATGTAAGAGTAAAACACAGAACAACCTGCTATGTAAGAGAGTGCACAGCATCAGTGTAAGAGTAGATCAGCTGCGATATAAGAGTAAGACATAAGATTGGTACACGACAGCTGTTGCAACAACGTAAGAATACCACAGCGACAGCAGAAGAGAGAGTAACACAATATAAAAGAGTAGTACACAATACACAGCTGTGCACAGAGAAAGACTAGAAACAAAGTGATCGAAACTAGCTTGATTCATATTTGTTGTATGAAGTTAATTTTTATTTTGGGTCTAGTTGAAATATTTATATTATTTGAATATTAGTTATGGATGAATGATATGTTAAAATGAATGAATGATATATTATAAGTAATAATGATAACAATAATCTTATAAATCTGCTCTGAATGAAATAAAACTGTTGAAATTACTTGTTTTAGCTACCTAAACCGTCTCCTCGATGAGGAGTTCGATTGTGGATCAGTGACAATCTGTTACATTACCAAGCGGTAACAGTCACTGGGCAGTGACCAATATCGTATTGACCAATGACCAAACGGTGTCCTTTGATGAGGGGGTATGGCGGGGGAAGGCGGCAAAAACCTAATGCTATGCAGAAATGTCTAATTCAAAACACAAATGTAATATAATGCAATAACAAATACCTAAAACGTCTTATGCAAAAGATAAAATACGAGAAACCTCTGATACAAAATACCTTATACGTTAAATGCAAAATACATTATACAAGAAACCTCTAATACAAAATACATATAACCTCTAATGCACAATTGATTTACAACGTGAAACATCTACCATAAGCATTAGACGATATATCTCGTTTGCATTACCTATTTTATCTTTTGCATAAGACGTTTTAGGTATCTGTTATTGCATTATATTACATTTGTGTTTTGAATTAGACATTTCTGCATAGCATTAGGTTTTTCCGCTTTCCCGCGCCATAAGGGGGTGGCTGTCAACAAAGTGTACATTTAGTCGACCTTGATTGTTTTTTTCTGAAGCAGCTTAGTCTAGAATGAGGAAGATTTGTTTATGTCAGATTTCCCTTTCACTTTTATCACTTTATACCCGAAGATGGCAGAATATACACGCCGGTGCAATACAGGATACCCTAACCCAGTGTTTAAGGTCTATAGAGTCGTGTCTATACCGTACTTTCAATTGTTAAATGCCCTTTAGACACACCAGATCAGGCCCGTAGCTACAGGGTTGCTCACTGAAACAATTCTGACAATTCCATTACTGCAACTAAACACTATTGCTCCTCCGGATATATAGCTTGCCCCTCCGAACAATCAATCCTGGCTTCGGAGCTGCATCAGATACAGAAGTAATGGACGCTTGGCTTCGATTGCTCCTCACAATACATTAAGAGGTGTGTGGTCTTCTATACAGTAAAACACAATTTCAAAGCAAACTTTATTATTTTATGAATAAGTATAAAAGGATTCTAGAAGGAAGACGATTTTATCAAAGGTAATGTTTGTTGGCATAATCTTATCAAAGATGACATCTGTCGACATTATGATATACGTGCTGTGTACAACAAGTACAGTTACAGATATTGTACACCTCAATGTATCATTATACGAGCTGGCTCTAATAACGTAATACATTTACAGAATAACAATATTTTTTCGTTAAATTTTTTGGAATTATTATGAAGAAATTGAAATTGTCTCCGGTACTTCCGGTTTGGACGACCATGGTAGTTGAGTGGTTGGCATTTCATTACCAACCATCATTCTCAATAAAGAAAAAAGTCAAAAACTTTTAAACGTTAAACATGAGAATATATTTTTGAAGCTTGTTTAATTTTTAATCCTTATAGCGTAATGTCAAGCCAAGTGCCTTTGGACTATGCTTATTAAAAATGCACAATATTATGTTTATTATTACCAGTGGAAGAAAAATGTTAAAAATCTGTAGAAAATTATTGTTCATATTGGATGTGAAAAATATGTCCGTGTGTTTATATATACAAAGTCATACAATAGTAATGACACCTTTTGCATCTTTTTCGAAGCCAATTTGCAACAGATTAATTTAAATAAAAAAATACTGTTTCTTCGTCAAAAAATCGAAA